GGCCTGGCCCGGCCCGGCGGCGGGCGGTGTGGCGGTCCCTCCGGCCTCTCCGACAGGTGGGCCGGCGGTGGGCTGTGCGGCCGTGTTCGCCTTTGCCCGCTCCCGCGAGTTCAGGCCCGGGAGGGACTCGGCAGCCAGAGCCGCTGCCCAGGGGTAGATGGGGTTTGTCGTTACACTGTTCGGTCTTGGCCACCTGAAGATGCGAGGGGGCCCAGGCGGTCCGAAGCCGTGTTCGCCTCGCTCGGCCGAGCCGGGGTTTTGTTTGTCAGGCCGGAGGCGGGGAGCGGCCTAGTTTGCGCCGAGCTGGAGAGGGAGGTGGCGTGACAACATCCTCCTCGGCCCGGGGGCGCAGGGTGGTTGTGAGCCTCCTGGCGAGCAGCCTCAGGCTGCTGAGGGCGGGGGGTGGTGGTGTGCCCGGCTTCCTGGGCGCGCCCCCATTTCGGGCAAAGCCCGCGCTTCCGAGGTTCAGGTGAAAGCGGTGTGGGAAGCGAGATACACGTTTCAACAGCAGACTGAAGTGTAAGGACTCATAAGGTTGATGCAGTTTATCTCTCATGCACAGTTGGGGGTTGAGCGGAGGTGTAGCGTCACGGTGTTGTATGGGACTGGCGCTTTTGGTAGTGTTGGTGTGGGGTAAGGTTGTTTTCTGCCGGTATATGTGATCAGAGAGCTCTATTCTGTTCATAATTGGAAAAAAATAAACTGCAGAGGCTGTTCATGCCAGTTAATTTTTTGTAATTGTAATATATTTGCCGTTTGAAAACTTGTAGTTCTGTGCATGTGAACACCAGTGTCTCATTTTCTTTAGAGGATTATGGTTATACCTTGGCCAAGATGATGTTTGCAGATCAAGGCTTCCTGTCTTCCCTCATCCCTATCACCCACCCTCGTTTAGGGGTTTGCTTGTACTACATTTTCTAAACTTGAAAGAGGCAGCTTGTTAAACAGGCTCTGCTTTCTCTGCTGAGATAAAAGAAACATGCAGTATTTGAAAGTGACTTTAAATATTTTTAAGTAACTTTTTTTTTTTTTAAATTTAGGTTGTCTAAATAAGGCAAAATCTTTTACTTAATATGAAGAAAAGCAGAGGTCGGACAGGTCGAAAGAGAAGAAGAAAACACTTCCAGAGTTTTATGGGTGGAGGTACTATCCATGGAAGTATTACTAGATAATAAAATAACCAATTGTTTGTCATTTTATGGTGTGCATTTGTCAAATGCTTTTGTGCTTTGAAAATATCATTCATAAATGTTAGCTTATTCTATGCAGATATTCTAGCTTTATTTTACAGTCCCAAGCAGAGCATAGTGAACTATTTTGGTAATGGTAAGCTCTCTTTCTGGCTAATGGGAAGTACTGTGTTGTTCTTAAATTTCTTGGCCAGTGAATATACTGAATAACTTCTACAGTTCTGAGAGCTCCTGGTGCCCAGAGGCCCAGAATTTAGTAAGCTAGTTCAAGGGGAGCCTTTCTTGCTATTCTGCTATGCGATACTAAAATGTCCAAAATACAGTTTTTCTGACTATACAGTAAAATTTTTCAATTTCCTTTCTTTTCCAACAGAGCGCTATTTTATAGCACTAACCCCCTATATTTTATTTTTAGTAAACTGCAGTCACAAGCTGGAATACATTAAACTCAAGAAATGGCTGAAAGACAGAGGATTTGAAGACGGTAATTTAAGGCCAGCAGAGTTCAAGGGTAATGTTTTAATTATTTATTGGTGGTACAGATTTCCAATTCTTCTAAGAATGTTGGTTCCGGCTTTCATTTTGAATCACATGGCTGGCATCAGGAAAAAAGCCAGTTACTCTTAGTCTTTTAAAGACTTGTGGCAAATGCACATGAATGTAATTTAACATAAACAAGTAGATATGGTGGCCTGAAGTAGTGTAAACAGTTTCTTATGTAAAAATGAACTCATGTAAAACTCTTGTATGAGAATACTCTGGTGTGTTGCAAAATATGCACACCTCTGCTGAATTCCTTGTAGAAATTGAGATTTTAAGTGTTGTTAGCACAGTTTGAAAGAAGAAAGTAATAGCTCTCTATAAGTGTTTCTCATATTGGAACCTAACCTTATTAGCATTTCTTCATCTTTTTTTCCCCTGTGCAAGTTCAGCAGCTCTAATGATACAGATAAGTATAAGTTTTTAGAGCTGTGATTCACTTACTTAGTACTCTTTACAGTAAAGGTATATATTTGTATTTTTTCTCTTTAAGTAGATTGTTTCAAAAACTTTTGCAGTATTACAGAGTAGAGCGAATTGGATGAATCAGGAAAATATTATAAATAGAAACTGTAAAGTTTAGTTAAAACTCTGAAACCAAGAAGAGCAGCCAGTGATGAAAGATGAAAGATATTTAGAGAAAAATTGGGAAAAAGAAGTTGAGTAGTTGCTAGAACTGGACAGCAAGTATTGCAGGGGATGCAGGGGAAGGGCTTTCACGGGGTCCTGAAAAATAAAAAGAGAATCAGAGAACAAAGAAATGAGGTATATATCTGTAAAAATCCATAATTGGCTTTTGTGATTTGTAAGAGATAATGTAGGTTCTTTTAGCACTTATCCTTGCTAGCCTGTTGATTTATTGCAGCTTATCGTAATCTCCTGTATTTTACATATGCACATGTATTTAAACATCCTCTTTGTTCCTACTTCAGATACAGGAAGAGGACTGATGACGACAAAACCTCTTCAGGTTAGTAATGTTGATTCTAATGCAGGAACTCCTCAGGTTCTTTTGTGATGTAATGACTTTTGCAATAAGCAAAGCTCAAAATTCCAGACAAAGTCTTCACAGTCCCTGTTGTGAATGTAATTTCTGCTCTAATACCAAAATTTGTAGTGTTGCCGTATTTGTAAGATGATGTCCTGTGAACCCTGGAGGCTTGTTGGATGAGGGCATTCCAGTACTCATTTATAGAGATTTAGTATGTAGTCTCGTGTTTCAGTTTAAGGCAATCAGTGGCTAACTGAAGCCAGAAGGAGCATGCCCCTGTTCTGTTTGCCTTCTCCCTTAGCCACTGGCTCCCACAGCTGCCTTTGCACTGGCTATAGCAGTCTTCCCCATTGTATCAGGAAGCTAAACTAACAGAAAATGCTCTTTCAAAAAATTATTAGCTTTGATAGCTTTGCTCCTTGAAATCTTCTGCCTTGATCAGACCAGTACTGGTACAAAGGGAGGAATGGCATATCAACGTGGGGAGTGGAGGAAAGGGATGGGGCTTTTTAAGCAGCATTTGGCTTTCGATTATCTTAGCCATCATATGAAACCATGGCTTCAACCTCACTTTGATGGCCACCTTCTTTGTTGGTAGACCAACTAATAGAAACCTAATTTCTCAGATACTTCCAGCAGAAAAGGGAAGTAATAGAAAAAAATACCTTGCCCTTCAGGTATTGGCACAGAAAGATGGAACTCTGACTGAAAAGGGTCTCTCAGAAAATAGTCTTGTTGGAGAAGTTTTCTAATTGCTATGAGAATAGTATATCATAATATCAAATAATGGGCAATCAGACCCAGAACCTTTTCAAAAATAGAGTAGAACAAGAGGTAGGAAGGAGATGCAGCGGAGAACTCATGTATAGAGAACAGTGTAAGTTCTCATGCTGGTTCAGGGTTAGAGCCAGCAATTGGAAGACAGAGGTTCAGCTTATCATAGTGCTGGGAGTCTGCAGTAAGAGAAATGAGAGCTGGACTCAACTGGGCTTGAACAGGGTAGGAAAACTCATGAGAGGAGTCAGAAGGGGAGAGTATTGACTTGATTCATGTCCTCTCCCTACAGGCATGGATGCATATGGCTCAAGCCAGGCATAAAAGCTAATTTACACACACAGCAACTTGGCAAACAAGGTCAGGATAGACATGACTTAAAATATCCCTACCCCATACTGCTATGTTGATAGAAATTCAGCTATTTGTGAGATCTAATCTGTAATATATCTCAGTACAAAGAAAGTGTGTAGCCAGGCAGCAAGCTTTCCATGAACAGCTAACTTTCTGCAGATCACAGTTCCTAATGACTGCAATTGTATTCATTCCCTAGACTGTGACTGTCTTAAAACCATGCAAGTTTCCATCAAGTTCAACAGCACATCTGTTTGCTTCCTGACATTAGTGTTCTTTGGGGAATGTCTCTCTGTTCAGAAATTGTGTAGTAGATGAGTCATTTACACTTGACCTTTACTATTCTTTGTGTGTGATTGTTTTTATTTTTCCTCCCTCAAAGTCAGGGGATCTGATTATTTCATTGCCTGAGAAATGCTTACTCACCACGGGCACTGTCCTTAGTAGCTCCTTGGGAGAATACATTATGAAGTAAGTGAAAAGTGACACTTTAGGGGCATTTTGGCATTTACTGTGGGTTGCTTGTTAGTAGATTAATAATCTGAAGTAGTGGTAGGGCTTTAAACTGTATACCCCAACTTGTATGTGTATTTCTTGTGGACTTCGATGCATGTGGAGTGCTCAGATAAGTAAGGTTTGGATGCAGAGCATCCTTTTTTAGCTAAGCAGAGTTGGAGGGATGATACAGGCTTGAACTTGGCCTGCTTCTAGAGCCATCTTAGACCTAAATGTGAATTATGAATGGTTTCTTGGGAATTTGTGAATATACTTCAAAAACCAACCCAAGAGGTGAACCTGTTGTTAACTACAAACCAGCTTTTATAGCCCCTTTGAAATCATCAAAAGGACTTTGAGATGAACTACAAAGAAGGAATTGATAACATTTTAAAGAACTAGGAGAGATAAAATGCTGCTACATCCATTTCCTATCTCACCTCTGTGTGTCTGCTGTGTTGTTATTTTTATTTTCTAATAGATGGAAGCCTCCTGTATCTCCTTTGATAGCACTGTGCACATTTTTAATAGCAGAGAAGCATGCTGGTGAGAAATCTCTGTGGAAGCCATATCTTGATGTTTTACCCAAGACATACACTTGCCCTGTTTGTTTGGAGCACGATGTAGTAAGCCTTCTTCCTGAACCTTTAAGAAAGAAGGCTCAAGAGCAGAGAACGACGGTCCATGAGTTGTACATGTCTTCCAAGGCTTTTTTCTCTTCCCTGCAACCTGTGTTTGCTGAGAACACGGGAACTATTTTTAACTACAGTGCTCTAGAGTGGGCTTGGTGCACTATTAATACCAGGACAATATACATGAAACATTCACAGAGGGAATGTTTTTCTCTTGAGCCAGATGTTTATGCGTTGGCACCATATTTAGATTTGCTAAACCACAGTCCAAATGTTCAGGTAAGAAACTAAGAATAGATCACTGAATTTCTTTACTTGCGGATGCACTATCTCAATGCAATATGCATTTATGTGATGGATTAAGAGTGTCTGGAAGTCAGTGAGAGGTCGCATAGTGGGAAAAATGTCTATTGAGGACACGTGCAGGCCAAGTACTCGCAGTTCATATATATTCTGGAGCTTGTTATTCAGCCCAAGGCAGCTGAGTAAAGATGATTTAAATGTTTCAGTTTATGTAGCAAAGCAAAGTTACAGGGAGGGCCAACAGTGGCTGGGTGAGATTTGTATCCAGGGTAGCTATTTACAAGTGCCACTTGTACATATAAATGTACTTTGCTCTCTGGAAAGGCTCAGCTCCTGAGACAAATCTCAAGTTACGTGGTCCCTGTGTTACTTCACCTTCGGCTGAAACTTCCGAGCAGCCTTAGGAAAGTGTGTAGAGCAGTTCCACCTTATGTCAGGGACTGTGTGCCAAGATAGAATTGGGACAGAACAAAAGCATCCAACTCTGCATGAAGGCATCTTATTGCAGATCTGGGGCCTCTGCAATAAGTCTACACAGTGGGTGGCACATCCTGCAGATTAAGATTTTGATGTTTTTTGTTCTTCATACTAATGGGTTGCCTTTTCAGACATCTGTAACACTACCCGTTTTTTTCCAGTGTTAAAGAAGTGTTCCGTCCTGTTGGGTTTTTAATGTTCAATGTCTGATTCCTTTTTCACCCTGTCTTTCTGTCAGGAGTAAATTTTTAAAATTATTTTTAACTTCTTGAAGGTAAAAGCTGCATTTAATGAACAGACAAGAAGCTATGAAATTCGGACAAATTCACAGTGCAAAAAATATGAAGAAGTATTTATCTGCTATGGGCCTCATGATAATCAGCGACTGCTACTAGAATATGGATTTGTTGCCATGGATAATCCTCACAGCAGTGTTTATGTCTCATCAGGTTGGATTTGTAGATTGTCTTGACATTGCAAGGCACAATAGTAGACAACAAAGCATGTGAGTGTTTTAATGTCAGTAAAAGTGATAACTAAAGGATGCTGAAGTAGTTCACACACATGCATATACATATATGCCCAATGCACAGCATACACAATATGTATTAAGGCATTATAGTTTTTTTCTTTAGTACCATCAGAACATTTGTGTGTATTTCCAAGAAGTGGAATAGGGTTTGATACAACTTTGAACTGAATAGAATTTAAGGTTTAAATTTGACAGTGTTCTCTGGTAACTTTTCCTTTTGTAAAACTGGGATTCTTTTAGCAGCATATGTATAGAGATTCCAATTGGATGTCTTAGATTGTACGATTGTCTTCAGGCTTGAAGTCCTGATCCTCACAAACTGAAATTTCCAAGAGTGGTTCGTGACTTCAGTTTGAGTCAGAATTTCCATTATAAGGATACAGTCCTGGAGATTACTGATAGCTTTGAGAAGTAGATGTGTTTCTAATTACATTAAAGTTCACCAAAATATAGCAGGATTTATCTTTGTCCTGTAGCTACTTGAAAAGTTGGTTGAAATGTCATTTTGGAATTGAGGATTGTAGTTTCTTCTACATACCATTTATTTACATATCTAAAATGTGGTTTTATGCAGATACTCTCCTCAAATATTTCCCACCACTGGACAAGCAGAAGAATGCAAAACTTTCCATTCTAAAGGATCATGATTTCTTACAGTAGGTGTATGGAGTTTTTTGTTTCCCTATGTTGTTGTTTGGTTTTTTTTTAAAGTTTTTCTGGGACTCAGATTTTGCTTCTAGTATCAAAACCAGCCTAAAGTATGTATTTGTTTTTTTAACAAACCTATTTGCTTGCTGTTTGCTCTGGTTCTAAAGAGCAGATCTTCCCTTGACACTTGTCAGGAAGCTATCATGCTGTAGAAGACCACATACACTTTCTGCATCTCATCACTTCTGACTTTTTAGAAACCTGACCTTTGGATGGGATGGACCATCTTGGAGACTCCTCACAGCCCTCAAGTTGTTAAGTCTCGAAGCAGATGAATTGTAAGTTTCAGTACTCTGAATATTTAGACAGTGTGCATGTGATGTTTTCCTTTATTTGCTCTTTGCTGGCTGTGCGTGAGATACTGGAATAATTATTTTGGATCTCCTGTGTCTATCTCATTGAGTTCAGTTGAGAATTGAAAAGAAGAAAGGCAGAGAACACCATATAATGTAAAGTCATTGCCTATTTGCTGCTTTGGTCTTTTGCTTTCTTGTATTAAATACTAGACACACCCCACTGTTTTCCCTTTCTATTTCAAGAACAAGATAGTACTTTAAGATTCAGACTCCAGTCCTTTTTCCTGTTGGTTTGATGGGACTTTAAATGCTGTTGACCTTTGTTGATTTCTTTGAAGCATGTGTTCCACAGGCCGCTTCTGAAATTCTAGGGCCAAGTAGGTTGCTGAAATTAATCTTCAGTGACTGTCAGCACAGGTTTAATCATTTGTTCCAAATGGCAAATCTACCTCAAACAGCATTAATAGAAAATGGTTACCTGGGCTTTGCTTGTAATAGTAAATTAGAAAAAAAAGTTTTCTCTTCTTCAAAGCTGTTTATGCTTTGAAGATTTATTGCTGAGTGGACTAAGTTGATTAAAAGAACTAAAAATAAATCCCCATGATACAGGTTTCATGCCCAGGTGAGGTGACATTTAGCAGAAGCCGTGCTAGTGAAGTTCAGAGTGGATAGCTTTTATCCCTCACTGGTGCTGCTGAAGTTGGTGGCAGCATGGCAGAGCAGTAAAGACCAGAAGCATTGGTCTAAGTGTGGCCTGTGTCTTTGGCTGAAAGGGTAGAGGTGCAGGACTGGAGCCACTGTTCCAGACCATTAAATCTCTCTTCTCTTTTGCTTGCCTTACCAGTTTCATGTCTGAATGCCCTCTGCCTTTTTCACGTATGCTAACCTTACTTGCCTTACACAACCGATGTTATTCTTAGCGTAACCATATGTTTATCATTCAGCTGGGGAATACAGCAAATGATTGTGTGGTGTTCAAACATTTTGGTTCTAGTACTTGCTGGAGGAGAACGCTGCTTGGTGATGTAGTTTCAGCCAGAAATGAACAGCAGACTTTGAATATAACAGCAAAAATATGCCATTTTTTAATAGAGGAGACACAGCGTGTCCTTCTCCAGGTAATTTGACTGAAAGAACAAGGTAACCCAAACTCCTTTCTCTCTTAGCATAAATGTACAGCAGTGTAATTTTCTGGGGTGAGAATGAGCGATGGAGGGAATTGACTACAGTGGGGTAGTGTAGAATTTTTTTCCAGGATGACTGACAGCACTGAATTGCTCAGCAGGATTTGTGGCTGCAGCAAAGAAAGGAACCATGTTACAGAGCTTATATGAAGCTCTGTAAACAAATGAGAAGTATTTAACTTTTCTCTGCCTACAGTATCAATGTGTTTGTTGAGGTTACCTTTTGAAAGAAAATGCAGATTTGTATGAGGTGGGCGCATAAGATGTTGCAGACCTGCCGAGGGTGCCTTGTTGCAGAAAGAACAAGGCACTTGACTGTGTGTGTTCATTAAAGCCAGTCAAATCAAGTGAACTACCTGTGTCAGCCAGTTGCCTGTGAGGGAGGTCTGTGCTCTTAGAAAAACAAACTCTTCTTTCTTTCTGAATTTTGGCAAGCAAATGTGTACTTAATGTCAAGTTGAATAGCTATCATGGAAAAGGGTTATTAAAACCACACTTTTGCAAAGGAAACTCGTATATGCACAGAGTATGAGGTGAATCTGGTCTTGAGCAACATCTTGCATATAGTATGGACTTAAGAGCCTGATATTGGGTAAACATTTCCCTACCCTTCCTTTCCTTGTTTTCGACCTGCTTCCTATCCACATGATGATTTTTTTCCCTCCCCCCCCCCTTTTTTTTTTTTATTCTTTTACAAATACAATTTATCTTATGGAAGATTAAAATAAATACTATTTTGACATAGTTCGTGGAATCCCTAACACAGATAAGCTTTCCACAAATTTTATGTTCATGTCCTATATTAAATAATCTAAATTTTGAGTAATTTCATCCTGCTTGTGTACATTTCAGATTTCCCAGTTGAAAAGGAACAAAGAGAACCTCAAAAACCACCTGGCTTTGGTAGAAGCACTACGCTTGGAAGATTTGAAGATATTACAAAAATCAGCTGAGATTGTTTGCAACTTGAATATTGCAACAACTTGACGTATCTGTAGCTGTGATAGCTGTGGCTGATTGGATTTGTTTTGTCATGGATGTGCCTTGCTCAACTGTTTTGGTGGACCTGAGCAGCAAAGAATAATATAAAAAGTCATCAGAATGTGCCTTGTTTTATTTACGGGGTCACCCAGGACCCAGAGTCTTATTTTGGTCTTTGCTGACCTTCTTCAGTAATACAAAAGATTAGCCCAAATGATGCGGGGAGCACAGGTGGCTTTCATCACATCTCACTGAAACCGTGACTGCTGTGAGCAAAACAGCTTCTGGGGTAATTTGAGCAGCCCCAGGACTGTGGGCTCCAGCAGTCCTAGACTTTACAGCTGCCTGTGTGGCTATAAGTGTGAATTGTAGGGTCAAGCAGATACTCCTCAGCATGTATTTGAACTCTGGCTTTTGGAGAGGAAGAGGACAGAGCCGCTTGTATTTGCCCTGTACCGATCCTTTACTTTTTCCCTGAGATCTGTACATGTCTCCAAGTTTTAGTAGTTCATGTAATGCCTGTTCACTGTTGGAGTAGTAAGTGCAGACTAGAGCACAGATCAGCCCTGTTGTGACCAACTCCATTCCCTTTGCAGTTTCAGCCCAAGTGTTTCTTGAATGTAAGTAAGTGTGAATTTCCCTCCTTTACTCTCAAAGCTCCCTCCTGACACACTAGTTTGTGTTCTGACTCCTGGTGGGAATGAGAACTGTAAGGATATGTCACTGAACTCTTGTTTCTTGTTTGGAAGACTACCCAGACAACTAATTGTGTTTCCATTCAGTTCTAGTGATTACATTGAGAAATGTTCCTATCCTGTATACAGGGAGATAGTCTAATGAGAAGCCTTTCAGTATTAGTTCTGCTTAAGTATGGAGCTTGAGCTCTCTCTGTTGTTTAGAGAAGAGAGAGACTTCAAAGGGCATTTCAGGGCAGGACCCTTACGTAAGCTGTACAAACTTAATTGTGCTTGTGTTGTGATTATTTTCCATTCTGTGGGGAATCATATTTCATACAATTTTTCATTGCTATTTTTAACATTTTTTTAAGAACTGTGTTTTTAAAAAGTTTATTTTTGTAAACATATTGCTTCATGTTCTACAAGACTTCTCTTTGAAATAAATGAAATTGTATACAGCATTAAAGGCATTCTAGCTAATAATATAATTTAAGGAAAAAATGCAACAGGTGAAAACTGTGAAGTATTCAAGCTCAAATGCACTTTCAGACTTTCTTTGGTACCTTGTCAACAAAAATGTTATTGTGTAAACTGGCTTGGATTTGAAGATTCCAGGGGTTTTCCCTGCTTGCTTTTTTTTTTTTTTTTTTTTTTTTTTTTCTGTCTCAGTCTATTTGAGGCAGGAAGTGTCTTGATACCTGGAGCACTGAGAAGGGCTCTTCCTTACACAGAAGGGTATGTTGCTTTATGTTCAAAAGACTGGGGGACCTTAGGAATGTAACGGCTGTTACACAGTTTCCAAAAGCAAAAATTCTTGGTTTTGAAGTGCCATCTTCATAACCTCTTCTGAGGATTTGGAGATTCTGAAAAGAAGCTTTTTTTCTGCCTTGTTTACCCCAGTGCACTGAGACTTTTATACTCTTGGGCTTTCTGTATTGTTCACATGGGGATGCTGACAGTTTGTGGTTACTCTACATTTTGGAGCAGAGGGCAGGGTGAATGAAGTGGGAGACGAGCAAGTGCTCTCTGAAGCTAGAAGCACATTTCTTACAACCTTTGTGCCAAATTAATTTCATATTTGCCTAAACTGGGCTTTTAACCCTTGAAAGTCACTTGGCACCATATTTTATACTCTAGTCCGCTCCATTCTGAAGTACCTCCTGGGATGAGATGACTGTCTGGATTTGGGAATTCAATCTCTGCTGATCTCACCAAGGGCAATTCTCATCTCGTGTAAGGGTCCTTCTGTACTGCTGAATCTGACTACAGCAGAGATAAGCGGGGCTGAGCCCCCTGACGCTGTGGCTGTTGCCCATTCGTTTTGATCAGGTCTGCAAAAAGGTCTACAGAAGTCATGGGTGACATGAAGAGGGTGGCTGGTGACTGAGCATTCACAGTACAAGAAGGAAGGGCTTTCAAAGGAAGATCGAAGAAGTCAGGCTCAGAGCTAACAAAGTGCTAACAAATCTATTGATGTTACTTAAGAATATGGATACAAAAGTTGACATGGGTGCAGAGCACATACAGGGAAGACAGAGCTGTTGGCAGTTCCCAGCCAGCCAAACAACTTTAGTCTTACACAGTCCCCTGATCTCAAAATACTTGAAGGTTGGGAGGGTATTGATGGCAAGTATTGTATACATTTGCCCTATGCTTGCTCTTTTAGGGTGTTGGTGGACACTGTGGGAAACTCTACTGGGCTAGAGGGATTCTTGCTTTGAACGTGTCCTGCAATTTTGATGATTACAGTTGAACTGTTTGACCTCTTAATAAAAATGTTTTCATTCTCTAAGCATAGCTGTGTTTCTTATGTTATAATTTTGTAATGAGATGGTACCAAAGTTAAAGAAGATAAGGATGGTTTTGTTTGTTTGTTTTTCTGGACATGGCTACTCTAAAAACAATTCTGTACGATGTGTCTTGCAAAGATGGATACTAGGTTGACAGAAGTTTATTTGCTTCAGTATTGCACTATAGACTACACATTTATACCAGGTGGTTTGAATATGGGCTCTCCTTCTGTAACTCCTACACACCCTCCAGAGTGTGTAGGAAGGGGATCTGGCAGGGCAGGAAAGTAGGCAGTATGAATTGCTTGTCTGTCTCTTGCATGTAAGCACAGCAGTAATCCCCCAGCTTTACCTTAAGCACTGTAGCAAGTGTTCTGAATAGAGCCATGTGTCTAATGTCAAAGACAAAATCCTGCATGAATAAGCTATGGAATGGGAACTAGTGCTTTTGTGGCACATATCAATAGCAACAGATTTTTAACAGGAATAAAACTGTAATACAGATCATGATTTAGCATTTGTGTATATATACGCCTAGTCAGCAAAAGCTTAAGTTCTTTTTTGAATCAAACCTAAACTATGTGCAAAATCGAGCATCCTAAGCTGGGCTAAGAGCTTGGGTAAGAAGAAGTAACTGATCTGGGAGCGCTCTCCAGCTGTCTTACAGAACACTAAATCAAGTTTTCAAAGAGTGAAGATGCTGTCTTTCAGCTTCTACTTTAGAGCCCCTTTGAGCTGCAAACATCTTAATCACTTTGCTTTAGTGACATGCTGTTAACATTTGGCTCTGTCTGTTAGTCTAAGAAGAGATTTAGCTGAGATCTTAGTGTGGAAAGACTGCACTTCCCCTCTTCATATAAATTTGCTTTCAGATCGTATCTGCAAATCTCAGCAACAGTAGCAATAAACCCCAGCTTTCTACTGTTAGGAATACAAAGCTTATATAGATCGTGGCAGTGAGCTAGGTTCTCTTCCAGGTTGTGCAGTATTACTCAAAGAAAGCTAAAGTAGTACTGCATTTTGTGACTGCAGTGAAGACACTGTGTTTGGGTAGGTATAATGAGGGAAGCTTTATTTCTTGTGATAACAGTGCGAGACACAAATAGCACAGCTTGATTTTTTTTTTTTTCTTCTTTGAGAGGAGGGATTTGATTCAGTGCAGTCTGAAGTCACTGAAAAATGATGAACATGAAACATCATGACAGTATCTTTCCTGTGTCAATTTATGTAAATACAGCATGTATTTTCTTTGATCTTCTACAGTTTTCCTCAGCTGTAATGTGTGGAGATCATCCATCTGCTAAGTGCCTTTAGACCTGTCTGTTTCAGGACAAGATAAGGGAGTGTCAACTCTCACACCCTAATAATTAAAGCTTTTAGATACACTATGAGAACATTTCAAAGATGACAGTCCCAAAGAAAGAGCTTTTAAAAGTGATGTCTCCCAGGTTATGTAGCCCCTCCCCACCTAGAAGGTAAAGAATACCCCTTTAGAGGTGCCACACTTCAGCATAATTTGAAGTTTCTTTGCACTCAGTACATCTATTACTACAGTGCTGAAGATAATGAACTGTAGGACAGGGAAATTGTCCCAATAGAACTTTATGTGTTTGTTTATACAGTAAATATGAACTAAAGTTGTTAAAAAAAATACAAATTTTCCCTCAGTTTGGACCAGCAGTTGGATCTGAACCATGTGAAATTCAGGGGTTATATTGTTTCAGTACAAAAGCAGAGAGATCACAGCTCAGTGGCTGAATTCAGCTAGAAGAACTTGATTTTATCCTTACCTAACAAAGCTTAAGGTGGCATCAGTCTGCTGCAGGTTGGAGTGGAAGCAAAAAAATATATTTCCTGAATAAATGATGGAATGTTTTAGTGGATATCTATGACTGAATGTTTTGGTGGATATCTATAATTCTGGAATTAAGTTTTAGGAAGCACTACAACGAGCTACATTCAGTGGAAAAGCAAAGATACTCAATGAACTCCAACCTACTCAATGAACCTCAACATAAGTTGTATAAACCTAGTGTAAAACTAATGCAATCTCTGTGTTGTCCACTAGATGATGCAACTGTACTACAGAGAAATAAGAAATTACAGTACATCCACATGCAATTATAATCCTTTTTACTGTGTTATATTTTTAGTAGTAAAAAGAGTTGTCTTCAGTGATACACCATGGTTGGTATTAGATGAGTAGTTGAAGATGTAGTTTTCTTTCTGCTGATTTCAAGTGAAACTTGAAGCTTCATAATCTTTTCTCTTTTCTCAGTTTTACTGTATTTTAGCTTTGTTGGAGTTGCTCCTCTCAAACTGAATTGTGTCATTCTTCCCTGAAACTATCACCCACGACAGAACTAATAGTTCAAATCATCTTTGTTACGTTAACTTGACCCTAATGGTTTAGCTAGTGGGGTTTCAGTGGAGAACTGTCTGCTTGTGTGTTTTTTCTTCAGAGATTAGGGGCCAGATTCATCTTTTGCACAAATTTCTTTCAATAATGTCCTTTGCTGTGGCTGATTGAACTGTGATTGAAAGATTTCCTCTGTGCAGGGAGATTTTGTGGGCTCTCCCTTGTGTCAGTTTTCTAGTGTCTAATAGTAATAAGCTTGCTGGCCCTTTTTTTTACTGGGTGTTTCTTCACTGCCCATTTTTGTGACTTGTGTCTGCTCATTACATTTGATATGTGTTTGTTGCCTTGCTCGCTTTCCAAGGGGTTTCCAAAACTGATGGTGTGTGTCTACCTGGCATGTCCTGGGAACCCCTTCAGATTGTCCCAGTTGCCCTATAGCTGAAAAGAGGAGGAATGGAAGGATCTGCTCTCTCATGTTTCTTAGCTCTTTATCCCTGCCTCCAGTACTGGACCGTACTGCGACATGCCAGTCTTGAGGGCACTGAAGTGAATTGGGCTCTAGTACCAGGTATTTGCAGTACACTTTTAATGTAAGAATGTTTTTCCTCTTTACATACATCTGACTTGTTCCAAGTCTGTCAGGGCCAGCTGTGTCCAGTGCTTTACCTCTCCGCTAGGACGCCAGAGTTGGGCTGGAGAAATTGTTAGATGAGCACTGTTATCCCTTGCAGATACCTCCAACAAACGATGTGCTATTTTAGTAGCTCCCTCCTGCTGGGGCTGCTCTGGAAGGAGCTGGCAGTGGCAGTTTGGCTCTTTTGACCCTTGGCAGGCAATGATGACTTGTGGAGAGGACAGAGGGACATTCTCAGCATGAAGTTGGTGCCATGCCTGTCTGTACCACCCTGCCTGGAAATCCAGAGCCTGTATTTCTATCTTCTATCCAGAAGTCAGCCCTCTTTGCACCAAGAAAGTGCAAATTTGTGAATTTGTGTATCCTTCCCACGAGATGGACTTTGCATAGACAGAGATTCTTGGTTGTGGGTGGGCTGGCCTGCAGAGGATGTTGGCAAGGGATCAGAAGGGACCATGCCATCTCAAGCTGACTCATGCTTCTCTGAACTGTTTCTGATGCTGGGCTAGCCAGTCCCTGGCTTAGGAGTGGGAAAACACTGTGTAGGTCATGGGAGACTCCTAAAGGCCTGCTAGAAGTGCAGTGTGGGCTGGGCTGAGGAGGTGGAAGGGGAAAGGTGGGCTAGAACAGGAGGGGCAGATTGGTATCTGTGGAAAGGGGATGTTTTGTATACTAATAAAGAGCACACACACCTCTTCAGCTTTTCTCTGCCTTTAAGTTTGTGTAGATAACTGGACAGTCCTACTGCTCTGTCAGAAATGGTGTGGTGGCCAGGGTGGCCATTTCTGTGCAGAGTGGGAAGGAGGGGGGAAGGCGAAAGGGATAAATATATAGTCTCAGCAGTAACCTGAGAAAATTTTATGGTGTCAGGCAAGTATGTATGTGTGTGTCCATGTGTACCATGCTGTGTCTACCCAGTGCTAACCTAGCTTCCTGAGAGCAGGGCTGTTTGGTTTACTTGGATGTGTAACTCTGGTTTGGCCTTTTTTCTGCAGTATTACAACAGGGGCCCTAGGCTGAAGGACAGGGGAGAAAGAATGCTGTTTGGGCCAGAGCTGCAGTGCCAGAGGGAGCCTTTTGGTTGTGCTGGCCCATCCCGGTGTCCTGTTGCTCCATGCTGTCATGCACAGATGGAGATAAGTGTGCATCCCTCAGTGTTGCCAGGTGGAAAATCTCTCAGGTCAAGCTTCTGGTATGGCAGTGTAGTCAGCCTCTCTGTCACGGAGAGACATGTAATGCCTCCCACTGTCACTCACTGGTGGGGTTGCCCTGCTATACAGAATAGGACTTTCAGGATATGAGCTGCTCTGGCAGAGATGCCCTTGGGTGTGGAGCTGCATAGTGAGGTAGGGAATGTGTATTGGAGGGAATAGAAAGCAATGAGCAGTCCCCAGGTTTCCTCTGGCATTTCAGATAAGGTGCTCTCATGGTCACCCCTTTGAATATGCTCCAAGGCTAAGACAGCATGGATGGTCAGAGAACTGGACTTTGAGCATACAGCCAATGGCATTCACAAAGACAGCGTAGGTGTGGCGTTTGAGACTGCTCTTTTAGGTCACATTTGATAGAAATTGGATAACGTGTTCAGAAAATATGTGAAAGTGGAAGCGGAGAGTAGCATATTAAGACAGACAGATATTTATTTCTCATCCATCCAGGATAAAATCACAATAGAAAGTCAGATATTTTGAATCCAACCTTAAGCTTAACTCTGTTGGGGACAATGGCAGCAATGGGTGCTTTTACTCCTCAAAAAAATGTCCCTGTCTATGGGAATGACCGTTCCCTTTCTAGATACAGGTAGAGAACCGCATATGCTTGGCACAGGCCCTGAGCTGCACAGCAGATCAGTGTGGTCTGAACATCAGGAGCCTTGACATTATCTCTGTCCCTGGCCGCTTCCAGCAAAAACTGTGAAAAATCAGTTCCTCCCATGTCTTTTTTATGCTGATTTAATTTCACTTGGCTTGAAGGGAGTTGTACCTTGCCTTTGA